TTAAAGAGAACACAAAAGAACACTTTTCAGGAGGCACCATTTTTGGCGCTGTATAATAGATAAATATTCCTGTTTAATATGATTAATATCAACATTTGATATACTCAATTATAAATTTCTTGTCTACCTTTAATAACCCTAGAATTCAATAATATTTTGATAGTAAAAAAGTAATTCAAGTCTTAATATAACAAACATTATAGAACGTTTTTACCATTAATTTATTAACCCTTTGAAATTTTGGTATGATCATCTGGTGTTATTGTCTTTTTCTAATTTCTTGTGCAGGAATCGAAATGAAAAATTTCCCTAAAAGGAACCTGTTACATCCACCATTTTTTATTTATAGTTGTAGATGTACATATAGATAAACATGTATATTACATCTGCATGTTTATTGCGTTGAGGAAAAGAAAAAAAAAACAGATCATTAAAATAACTCAAATTCTAATAAAAAGGTATCTTCTTAGTACTTATATTATAAGCCCGCCTAAAGTTATGCTTCTATTTTTTGTTTTTTTTTAATTTTTTACTTTTTTCTTCTGATTTTTGGCCGGTATGATAAATTGATAATCACTGATCATAGACATCCGGAAATCCGATGATCGATAAACTCATTCAAGATTTTCAGCTTAAAAATTGTTCGAAACTAATTAATATGATTGAATGGGTACCTTATGAAAAATTTGATGATGTTATGTATAAATCGAAAGGCGGATTTTCAACTATTTATACCGCTACATGGATTAGTGGTTGGATTACTAACTGGGATGAACATGACCGAAAATTCTTAAGATCCGGGTCTCAATATGTAGTCTTAAAAGCTCTAAATGATTCTAGCGATCCCAATGATGGTTTCTTCAAAGAGGTTTGTGTTAACTTTTAAATAATTTATTATGTTAAAAAAATTTTTTTTTTTACATAGCAATTTCTGCATTTTCAGGCACTTGCATATCTTGAAACTGCAAAGAAAAATTTTTCTAGGTCACTTATTAATTGTTTTGGCATGACAAAACATCCGATAAGTAAGGATTACATGTTAATTTTAAGCATTGCACTTGATGGAGATCTGAATGATTACTTAAAAAGTAATTCTAAGATCACTTGGTTAGACAGATATACCTTGCTTTATGATGTAGCCTCTGCTATTGAAGTAATTCATAATAGTAATATGATACATAAAGATCTTCACCCTGGAAATATCTTATTAGATGGAAAAGCGTGGTTATTATGTGATTTAGGATTTTGTGGACCAGCTAATAAGGGACAAGCATTCGGAATCATGCCATATGTTGCACCAGAAGTATTAACAGGCGGAGGTTATACAACTGCATCCGACATATATAGCATTGGAATAATTATGTGGATAATTACATCAAGATGTCATCCCTTTAGTGATCGAGACTATGATAATATTCTTGCCACTGATATTTTCTTTGGACTGCGACCAACAATTATTTCTGGGACTCCTGATAATTATGAAAAGTTGATGAAAGAATGTTGGGACGCAAACCCTTCACATAGACCAAATATATCAGTACTTTGTAAATTTTTTATATCAAAAAAGAATGAAATCATGAATGGAAAATATTCATTTCCGGAATTGAATACAACTCCGAATTTATTATCCAAAACAAGCAAAATTATTGATTCAAATAATATTAATGAAGCTATTCTAAGGAAGAAGAAAACAATTGAAACAGATGAAATTGAAGCACTTTTAGAGTATAATAATCCGGTTTAAAATTTGAAATAGATTACTGTTACGAATATTTTATAACTGTTTAAAATCCATTTCTATATTACTGTAAGAAAATTCATTAAATGATATTTAATATGGCAACATTATTAATATAGTCAGTCATAGGTTAATATTTTTCGATTAAGTTATATTTTAAATTTTATACAATTTTGAATTTAGCAATATATTTTAGTAAATTTTAAGCGTATTAATGGCATAAAAAAAAATGCTGAAATAAATCTTTTGCATTTTTCATTAATGGCACATATTAATTCCTTTAAATTGACGTATAAGGGCATTCTATAATATGCGCATTTGATAACGAATTAATATTGAAACTTTTGCAAGAGTATTATAATTACGATAAAACGTAATAAATAATGATTTTATTAAATTTGTCAGTCATTAAGTTTATTCATCCACAACTTATGATGCTTTTACATCATATTTCTAAATTTTAAAATTAAACGTAAAATAAGAAAAATCATTTGTATATTTTAAGAATATACTGTACATAATTAATATTATTAATACAGTCAGACCTAGAGATGGGTTTCATGCGCATTTTATCCCATCAAAATT